GAGTATGCAACGCTCTGCTGAGGGGTTATGTTTTGTATCGTTGTAGTCCTATACCTAGTTTATCAGTCTAATGTTTTGAAGAGACATCTTCAAACTTGATATTACTATGATGTTGATAGGATCATTTAAATAGACAACTATTCAATTTAATTCAATTTACAAACTAGTTATGGCATTTTATTTATTGTAATCTAAAGTGGAGGAAGGATGAAAGGTTAAACTATACACAGTTTTTAATCAGACAGCACAGACCTTATCAAAATTCCCTTTCAGAAATGCACATGCTGGACTGTCATTTGCACATTGACTGTCAGCTCTGGAAGGGACACTTACATACTTGTATACATCGACTGTTTACCTTTTCGTTTGCCACACTGTAAATAGTCACTGTAAGTTATTTCGGACCATTTTGCAGAGATTTTTAGTGTTGCAACCATATGCGCTATTACTGTGTGTCACTTGCGATCTGTATCCAGCTGTCATTTGTCCGGCTAAGCTGTGCAAAGTGCATGTGTGTCAATTGGAGCCTAAAACCTAGCTATTTTATAGGTCACAGTCCATCTTTGTGTATTTCTAATATTTTAAAGTCACTAGGCCGACATTTCAGGTTTTTTCAAGGGATGGATGGTGGCAAAACCAAACCTTGGCTGGCTTGATGAGTTGTTATTACTGGAGGCCACACAGAACATATCAATTTATATAAAGCCTGCCGTAGCCTAATAACGCCCCTGTTTACCGATACATATTAATGATTTATAAATTTGCGCTAAAGTTTTGTGCACGAAAGCTGTCTCACGTATTGAGTAAACATGATAAACATCTCAATTTATTATTGGTTATTTAAATACGTCAATTTTTTTGTTGTTTTTTTAACTATATAGAAAAATTATAAACCTACCAGTGTACATACGTATCTGTTTTGTTTGTTGTTTTTTGTAGTAAAATTAAAATTATAACTTTTTCAATTTCAAGAGAAATAAATGTTTAAAACGGATTTAACTTATAATATTTTAATGTTGGGAAGATGTTGAACTAACGCTTATTTAATGGCGGAGCTGATTCATCTCAAACGGTAGAAAACTAACCTCGTAAAGATAGGGATACAAAACAACATTAAGACAGAGACAGATGAGAATTGGCCATATAAAATAAGGAGAAGAGAGAACGTTGGGAGAGAGGGACAAAGACGAGTGGGCATAATGGACCGAAAAAATAGAAACAGTTTATTGAGAGTGTTCCCTATAATGGAACAGATATTCTTGCTCCTAGTAGACCCAAGACGGCCAAGAAGAAGAATGGCTGCTTCACTAATAATTTATTTTGACGTTTATCTTAAAGTTATCTGACTGTATATGTTAATTAAAAAAAAAATAACACCATTACTAAGAAAATGAAATATTTCAATATATATTTTTTTAAGGCTGTTTAGTAACAATGTACATAATTATTTATGAAAAATGCTCCAATGTCAACTAAGTCGTTACATATAAAATGGAAACCTAGCATCATTTTACTAAAAACCTTGTTGATTTGTTTACTTTAATTTCCACACTTAATCCAATAACTACAACAAAATAAAAATCATTGTATTGTTACTTTAAACACAATGATTTATGTGTAACGGTAAAAATTAGGCCAGAACCAACTTAAATGCTGCAGAACTTTCTAGTGTGTTATTTTACTGTTGAATGTGTTTGACACTTTATTATTTTCTTACTGTCATATGTGCTAGATATAAAATTCCTAAAAATAAAATAAACAGAACTTGAAATTTAACGGATAAATAATTTTAAAAAATGGCAAAGGTTATATATGTGTCAATAAAATTCATACACACTATAAACAACATTTTAAAAAAATATATAATATATATACAAACATGATACAAATTTGAACTGATCATGAAGGAGTTTTATATTTCATATAAAACAGGCCATGAATAAAAATAGTGTTGCCATAAATAAACATTACTTTATTGCATAGCCAAGACTTTTCTGCTCTACTAATTAAGTCGGTAAAAGTATTTTGCACAAAGTAATTTCTTGTATCATGCACTACATATTAAGCGCTACCCCGTTGAGTTTCAAAAGTATGACATCGTGTGCGTATTTAAAAAAATCAACAAGGTTAATAAATGTTGATTTTAAGACTTGGTTTAAATGTTTAAATCTTTGAAGACCAGGAAAGTAAAGGTTTAACAGAAAAGTTTAGAGTTTAAATACAAATTAATTGTCTTGCATTTTTAAACGCATTTACCCAGGGATTTGGAGCAGTTGTTTTTTTAGGAGTTCGAATCCAGCTGCACTACGGACACATGTATGTCGCTTCACCTCAGCTCCAAGTTCTGAGATTCAAATTATTGGGGTGTGCTACGTGTTTAAATAATGTTTTTATTTTTACGTACGCGTCTTATAGCTAGGCAGTAGAATACAACGTACCACTAACATGGCTGTAAAAGAGTGGCGCAATAAAGCTGTTTAACATCAGGATTCAATTGTTGGTGGAAGAGTTGGACAATAAAGCTGGTAGAAGAGTTGGACCACTAGCTCTAAACGAGCGGCACAATATACTTGGTTGAAGAGAGGGGTCAACGTTCAGGCAGAATTGTAAGAAAACATAAATATAGAAGAGTAGGGCAGCACATTTGATAGAAGTTAGGGTAATATTGCTTGTTGAAAATTGGGAAAAATAATTTTGAAGAATATAGGCATCACATTTTTGTTAAAAAAATATTTTTTTTATTATTATTTTAGAAACTGTTATGCTTTGAGCAGAAGGGAATGTTTCTAGATCCATTTCCATGCATAAAGACCCCGCAAAGGAGCTTTGAGACTAGAGACCGACCGAATTTCGGCTTCGGCTTCGGTTTCGGCGCCGAAAGTGGCCATTTTATCACTTTCGGCCAAGTTTCGGTTTCGGCCGAAACTGAAAAAATAACTTTCAGCTTTATTTCGGTTTCGGCTGAAAGAGAAAAGTTAACTTTCGGTTTTTCTTCGGTTTCGGCCGAAATTGACTTAGACTTTCGGCCACCGGTCGAAAGTAACTCTAGTTTTTGGTCATTTAATACTCAGCGAAAGCGATATTTAACAACAAATTAAGCGTCATTTAAGAACAAATTAAGCGATCGTTGAGAACAAACTAAACGATATTTAACAACAAACTAAGGGACATTTAAGAGCAAACTAAACGATCTTTAAAACAAACTAAGCGATCTTTAAGAACAATCTAAGCGATCTTTAATAACAAACTAAACGATCTTAAAGAACAAAC